CTGATCAGAGATAATGAATTTTGCTCCTTTTATGTCGATTTTTTCCCACTGTGCGATGGGGCAATAGAGATTTTCACGGCCGATAATATTGGTGCGCAGTGTGAGAGTGTAGTAGTGATAATCCGAGGAAAATAAAAAAAAACAAACATCTGTCAAAAATTTCAAGTATGGTAAGCTGTTCAGAAGTGAAAAAATAATTTGGAAAAAAAAACAATTACGAGTTGCTGAACTATTTTTATCAATCAAAACTTTCATTTCACGACTCTAAAGAAGCTGCCAAAAAATTCAGCTTTGCGGAGTCGATCCATATTCCGTAAAAACAAATCAGAAGGAGGTTCCCCTAAATGTAACGTTCGCCCGAATCTATCAATTCTTGGTGCTGGATGAAAACCCATTTACGGGGATGCCGAAGGACTGTTCTAAAGGAATGGATGCCGTGCTGTTTTTTTTTTTTAAATGGGTGGGTGAAAAATGTTTCCGGGCGGAAACTTCACGATATGTATGTAGTTCACGGAAGAGTACATCATTCATTCTCGTTAAATGAAAAGCCACTCCAGCCGTGGGTTATAGTGAAGGAAGACGGATGCATCTTATGTCGTTTTCGTTTTTGAACCTGGGTTAGTGTTAACCTGACTCTGCAATAAAAAAACGTTTTCAGTTTGAAGAGTGTTTCGTATGTTGGTGTGTGTGACATCGCGTGAAGTTAGCTGTCAAACACTTTTTTGCTTGTTGTTTGCAGTATCGCGCTTTTTCACTTTTTCACTAATTCCGTCTGCAGTTTCCGACGCCGTTTTCTGCTTTTCGCGTTTTAAAATAAAATGGAAGGACAAATCATCAATCTCACCGATTTTGAGCTCGTGGTGGACGAAAACGGGAACGCCGTGCAACAAGTGGAAGGGTTCGTGCTGCTTCGGAACAAAGCAGGTAAGTTCATTTTTTGTTGCCTGATTTTATGGCTAGTGCGATTCATTTTGTCGGTTTATTGTTTTTTACAAGGCTGCGATGCCGGAGGCATTCCCAGTGTAATCCAGGTGCGTTATAGTATGAAATCTCGACCGATAATGACATTGTAAGCTTTTTCCACGCAAAGCGCAAACCGCCCACGCAAATCAATCGCATCATCGTGTAGAGGAAACTTTCCTCTATGCAATGAGAGATGCTGATGGTTTGCGTTGGCGGTTTACGCTTTGGGAGGAAAGGGCTTTGGTTTTATTTACAAAAACCTATGAGCCTTTGCAATAGTTTTATCGAGAAAACATGTTGTATTGTTTGAATACGGAGTGAAATTCTTTTAATACAGGGGATACTTAAAATAACTAGGATGGGCTAATTTTCGGTCAATTTTAATTCTTTCAAGAGCATTCGACTGGAAAACTAGTATAGTTTTATAGTGTGACCGCAAAAGTAACCATGTTCACCGGATACCGGAGATATTCCGGGTTTCTGGAGGGCTTGTCTAACATGCTGAATCTGTGATGAAATTTTCTTTAGGATGCCGGTTTAAAATCGACATTTTTCAGTAAATAAACAGAACGAAGAACCATTTCCAAAGCGAGTGATTTGCCAAGAAATAAAATCGGCTTATAATTAACCGAGATATGGCCATTTCCCTGGAATCAGTCCTGATGGAGGGTTTAAAATGCATCATTGACCACATAAGCCGCTCTCGGAACCTCCTGATTGACCACATTGACCACTCTTGGAGCCATGGGATAACCCCGGGAAAACATGTAGCATGGGACAATTGGCTTTTTACATCAAAACGTACCTTGTGACAGCTTTTTCTTCATGATTTTTCATCATTAGACTTTTGATGGACTTTTAATAAATCATTGACCACATTGACAGCTCTCGGAACTACCAAGATATCCCCGGGGAACCCTGTAGCAGGAGACAACTTCAAGTTTACACCTGAACATGCCGTATGACAGTTCTATCTTCATGGTTTTTCATGAATAGGCCTTCCATAAACTTCAAACGGATCATTGGCCATATTGGCCGCTCTCGGAAACTCCAGGATCCCCCCGAGGGAGCATGCGACAGTTCTATGTTTACACCAAACATGCCGTGCGACACCCGCATAAACGCGAATCATAACTTGACCTTACCGAAAAGGTTAAAAATTGTCTATAATCCCTGCTAAACTTTCACTGAAATGGTTATGAAACTTTACATGAATGTTTGAGCATGAGCATGAGCATGATTGACCGCCCACGGTTGCTACTCTGTTATTGCCAGACCAGCTGTAATTACACAGAGAACCAATAGACGATGCTTGGGACTAGCAATCATCCTCAATGTCAAGAGGTCAAGAAAGGAAGGGATAGGAATGTGTTGACGTGACACTGGCTTTGATGGAAGCCGAGAACACCTCTGCACTTCCACGAGGAATCACTGGGATATTGGGTAATAGGGTTGGGTTTGCAGCAGGGTTCGTTTTGGTAAACGATAAGCTGAATTGATGTCCTAACGATCGTATAACGCGAAGGAGCTGGGGATTGAACCCACGGTCCTCTGCTCAGTAAGCAAAAACGTCTGCCACTAGGCAGACGAGCTCCTTTTTAATCATTGACGAATCTTAAATGTAGATGGGCCTATAGGAGAAAAAATGAATTTTTACACCAAAACATGCCTTGCAAAAGCTCTTTCTTTATGTTTTTTCATGAATATATAGAGAGCCTATTAATAAGAAAAATATGAAGAAATAGCTATCGCACGGCAAGTTTTGGTGTAAAAACGCAATTGGGTTCTTAAATTTTATAAAAATATATTGGTTTTTATATATCATCTGAAAAAGCTTCGTTTTGTGAGCATAGCGATATGTTTTTCGAACCCACACACTTTCATCTCGATTTTTAAATCAAGCTTAATAATACTTGTATCCGCTGACCATGGTTATTTTCGTGGTAACAATATAAAAATATATTAGTTTTGCAGTCGAATGCTTTTAAAAGAATTAAAATCGGACCATATTTGACGAAGTTACAACAATCCAAATTTTTCCAGAAATTAGTCTATCCTACACTAATACAATTCCACACATTTTTATTGACGAATTTCCATGTAAAATTCCACATGATTTTCATTCCGTACATAAACAGAATCCACTCAGAATCACACATTAAATTTATGAGTCAAATGATTAGTATGTGTGGTTACACATGGCTTTTATGTTAACACATATTAAGTATGTGTCCGACACATAGATATCATTTGTTGATCACATTTTAAAAATGCATGTGTGGGACACATAAACACAATCTTTGAAATTTTATCAGTGTAGTTATTTTGAATATCCCCTGGAGCTTCTAATCAAAAATTGAAATAATGAATTTATTTCTTGCTATTATTCATGTCTCATGGGATATACCTATTTTTAATTTTGCTAACTTAATTTTGCTAATTTATTTCTTGCTATTATTCATGTCTCATGGGATATATTTTTAATTTTGTCTTCAGATTATGCAGTGGTGCAAGTGAAAATCACTGAAGTTGCTGAGTTCTACGGTTTGAGAACGGAAGCACCACAATACGAGAGGAATGCTGAAATCAGCAGCCCAGGTCCATCGTGTACCACAAAAACAGTGATGACGTGGACTGAGGAGCAGACGCGTCTCCTGTTGAATCTGTATTTGATTAACTTGGATAATGTTGGACCGCTAAAAAAATTTAAAAACAAAAAACAATTGTGGGAAAATATTTCCCAAGAAATTTATAAACAACAAGGCGTTAATTTTTCTGCGTTACAAGTAGAAAACCGGTACAAGAACGTATCCAAGAAGAACAAGGATGTATTGGAAAATAACCGCACATCCGGTGCATCGATCATTGCTACACCTTATGATAAGGAGATGGGTCAAATAGCATCAGTCGATGATTCAATAGAGCCGGAGATCATCATGACACCCACTGTCATCAGACGCAAACGATTGGCAGAAACGGAACTGTCTACTACCGATAGCTCTGTCCCAGATGTCACAGATTCCACTACATCCACGCCGCCCAGCAAAAGGACTAGCAACGCGGATGCTTCATTTCAGCTGTTGGAGGCGTACAAAGCAGAATGCGAACGGAAAGAAGAAAGAGGAAAGGAAAAAGCAAAGCAACACAGCGAAAAGATGGAGAAACTGGATCGGCTAAATAATGTATTGGAAGAACTTCTAAAGAAAATTAATTAATTCAGTTTTAGTTGGAGTTTGGTTTTACACGAAGATTTACGTACAGCTTTGAAATGTTCATGTCAAATAAAATAACATATACAATATCACAATTAAATCCATTCTCGAACCGATTTTTGGTATCTTTGCCGCAAATGAAAGAAGAAGCTTGGCACCCTGACCTTGATTTCCTCTAGCCTATTGGTCCCAAGCAAATCGATTAACGTACTCCATTCTAGTATAAATTCCAGTACTACACTATGTTCGTTTTGATTCGCTATGAAAATTTGACAGATAAAATGAGGGGTTCGTGGATTTTCCTATGTTTCGAGGGGTGCATCGATTAGCTTGGGACCGAAGATAGTACCAGAGCTGAGCCAAAAAGTTGAGCTGGTTTCTTCGGAACCTTCTGGTCTTAGAGTTACCTCTATGGTCATACCACAGACAAACAGACATAACACTCGTAAGTTGTTCATCGAACAAGCATTTAACGAACAATTTAAAAGTATCGTAGTTGGTAGTACCGCCACCTGTGGCGCGCATAGTCAATTCCCTTGCGTTTGACGTTTACACACTACCGCCATCTGTTCAACGTAGTGCCCACCACTGTGTACTCAATAGATGGCGGTAATGTTTTAGTGACGATGTTTTACAGTGAGAAATATTCAATGTGTTATGTCTGTTTGTCTGTGGTCATACCGTATTCAAATGAAATTTTTGTATCTGTGCTTTTAGAACAAAATTAGACTTGGGACCGGAATATGGACCCGGCATCCCACAGAGTGGTGCTTAAAAACTAGAAATACATGATGGAGTTTGATTAAAAGTCGTTTTATTGAATTTCTATTGCATTAATGTTTCAGCAATTTCACTTCTCTTAACTTCTCCAAGTCTGCGCAAAGCGGCATTCCTTGTGCTTTGGGAACCACTTGGCCCGGTAGGTGGAATCTGACTGCTTCGGGTTTCATCGGGCTCAATGGGATCAGCTGCTTCTTCGTTGAATGTGTCATTTTGATCAATACACATGTTATGGAGTGTACAACAAGCCAAAACAAACTTGCACATTCTTTCGACACGAAAGAAATCGAGCCGAGTTAGCTGACGGAACCTTTGTTTCAAAATTCCAAAGCAGTTCTCAATCTTAACACGTGTTTGGCTGTGTTTAAGATTGTAGTTTGTATCCTTTTGTGATAGATTACCATAATCTTTGAACGGAGTAAGCAAATACTCCCGCAAGGGATACGCCGCATCACCGAGCAGATGGTACTTTCCATGGCATATGCCAGGTAGCTCGTCACTAACAGGTGACAGAGAGAAAATTCTTGAGTCGTGTATGCGGCTAGGAGACCCCACACAGACATCAATGAATCTTCTCTTCGCGTCACAAATCCCTTGAAGTGTTATTGACAACAAGTCATGACGATTAACATACGTAGATCGTATTTTGTTTGCTGGTTTTCTGATGTAGATGTAACACCCGTCGATACAGCCAATCACGTTTGGAAAACCAGAAATCTGTAAAAATTTGAAATATTCGCTGATCACATCAGAATTATCTCATTTTTAACTAACACTTCTGAAATCGGTTGCGATCCTTTCCTTCTCTGCTGTTGAATCTGGAAACCGAATAATGGTTTTGGACACATCGTAAAGGAAGTCCAAAATACGGTTCAAACATTTAAAAAACGATGATTCCGACATGTTGAACAGGGTGCCGATTTCACGATACGAATCTTTGTTTGCACAAAACCTAAAAAAAATCGTTTAAAATCAGTACAATCTAGCAGAATTCGTTGGTGTTTTTTGTTTGGTACAGTATATAATGAGAGAGAGAAGGATTAGTATTTTCCATTTAATTCCAATACTTTATTTGCTTATTCTTGACAGATACGCGTATTTCGTCTACAATGTGCAGACTTCTTCAGTGTCTTGTACTAATACTCGACTCAACTAGTCGAGTATTAGTACAAGACACTGAAGAAGTCTGCACATTGTAGACGAAATACGCGTATCTGCCAAGGATAAGCAAATAAAGTAGTGGAATTAAATGGAAAATACTAATCCTTCTCTCTCTCATTATACAGGTATTCCACTAAGACGCTCACATTTATCAGGATTTAGTACAGTATAGTTACAAAGTTGAATCACCCCTTAACCTACCGAGACGAATTTTTATTTAGAATAATGGTTCGTTTTAGACAACTACGTTGCAATCTACTTGATGTTTCATCAAGGAGAAGTGATTGGCTAAAAGATATGGCCGGATATGAGTGTGGCATACATGCAAATTGGTAATGATTCTTACTAACTGCAGGTATATTATCGAAATTTGTGCCAAAAATTATTTAATTTTGTAAGACTTTGTCAAAACCTAATCATTTATGAGCATCATACCAATAATCAATACGAAACTAACGATTTTAAATTGGCTTACTACTTGACTAGCCTATTGGTCCCAAGCAAACGATTAACGTGTCCCATTCTAGTCGAAATTCTAGTACTACGCAATGTTTGTTTTGATTTGCTATGAAAGTTTGACAGATAAAATGAGGGGTTATTGGTTTTTCGTATGTTTCGAGGGGTGAATCGATAAACTTGGGACCGAAGAGAGTACCAGAGCTGAGCCAAAAAGTTGAGCACGTTTCTTCGGGACCTTCTGGTCTTAGAGTTACCTCTATGATCATACTGCACTACATTTGCCAAATTTGAACATTTATATCCGCCCCCCCCCCACAAAAAGGAGGAGGGTCGTAAGTTCACATGTGTTATTCTATCTTTTAGCCTATCTTTTCTCTTGAAGAAACATCAAGCAGATTGCAAATTAGTTACGTAGTCGTCCACAACAAGCCATTAAACTACGAAAGAAATGTTTAGCCCGAGAGATAATTTTAATCGGTTCTTAATAAATCTTAGGGAATTTCAAGGTGAACCCTTGCAACATTCTAAGAAGAATTTTAACAAAGTTCTGAGGAAATTTTCAGGAGTGTACTGAGGATGGTTTCAAGAAAATTAATAGCAAACTTCAATAGCAGATCGGGGGTGAATTTCAAAAGGTTTCTGAAAAATGCTTATAGGTTAATCTGAAGAAATTACCCGGGAATTGCAATGAATATAACAAGAGTATTTTATAAATAGAATAAACAGTGCGAGGTTTCATGAAAATACCAACAATACTGTAAATTCAATTTTTAAAAATTTCAGCAGTTGTTGAAAATTTGAAGGGAAATCCAATTAGAATCCAAATTGTTTCTAGTGTTTCAGAAATTTTACTTGCAAATATATAGTTTTTGAATCATCGCAATTGGGTAGAAAATATTCCAGGATAGTCGTAAAACAATCAAAAGTGCCAATTTTTTTATCTCATTCCTAATCCACACTTGAAGCAAAATCTAAAATAAAATGTTTCTATCAAATATTCAAGTTAATTATAATGATAATTATTTAAAAACCTATTATCGAATAAAATAGTTGATCTCTACCAAGACTAAGTTTTCAAAGATGTTTTATAATTTTGCTTTGCTCAATTGTCGGAGTCACACAATTTTGTAACATTTTCTAAATGCAAATCGTTTCGTCTTGATTTTATGTATAACATTAAAAGGACTTTTATTGCAAGGTTATGATCCCTTGGTAAAAAAAAAATATGTTCTAAATACTCAGCATTTACTAAAGTAGGAAAAATTTAAAAGTTTATCAGCCGCCGATTTAAAAAAAAAAATCACTGGTGAAAATAAAATTCAGATATCGAGCAAAACATGAGTTCGTAACCTTAAAAAAACTATTCTTTGGATCTTAATTTCTTGCAAACTTAAGATTCCTTAAACAATTCGTAAAACCAATTCATCACTTTTCCACCCTGGATTCTGGTTTTCTTCCTTATGGTATTGAGCATGATTCCCGTCATCTTTATGAATAATTTGAACGAGATAACTTAAAACTTGTTTCTAAGAAAATTCCGAGGGGCACGTAATACAAAGAACCGGTGCTTTGAAGTTAAAATGCAATCAAAAGTACTTAAAGTAATAAATGCGTTTTGAAGTAGTACTGACGGTTATTAAAATTACCGCCATCTGTTGAATACACTGTGGTGGGTAGTACGCTGAACAGATGGCGGTAGTGTGTAAAGTCAAACGCAAGGGAATTGACTATGCGCGCCACAGGTGGTGGTGCTACCAACTACGATACTTTTGAATTGGCCGTTAAATGCTTGTTCGATGAACAACTTGCGAGTGTTATATCTGTTTGTCTGTGGTTCTACATTGTGTAATTAATGTAATGCAAACAGTAGTTAATGGAATTAATTTAATTACAGCCGTTGCCTGCGTTGGAGTTAAAGGATATTGCGTTCCCCTAGGAAAATTCTTGAGAAAATAAAAAAAAATGTGCAGAGGGGCAGGGTTCCTTCCATTCATTTTGGCTAAAAAAATGTTTTAAAAAATTATGGAATAATAAGATATTATAATAATATTTTGTTTGTGTAAGCAACAAGAAAAGATTGTGGAGTTTGTGTTTGACACATAATACCAGCCAATGTTGCTGCATGAGAGTCGCAATAAGCGATTTTGTCATTTATCTCACCCACTCTTCACTCTTCACTCTTCGCGAAGAGGCGATCAGAAAATCGCTCATTGTGGCTCTGTCAAAGCTAAATTTACAGGTTTTATGTGTCAAACACAAACTTTAAAAAATTGTCTTGTTCCTTACACATACAAAATACCATCATAATATCGTATTATTCCATAATTTCCTAAAACATTTTTTTAGTCAAAATGAATGGAAGGCACCCTGCAGAGGGGTTTTCAGAGAAAATAAAAATATTCAGGATTGGAAAATCAGAGGATTTTAAGATTTAAAACTACGATAAATTGCCATCTACACTCACAACACCTCCTCTCTCAATGAAGTTAAGTAAAAAAATATTGAAAATCTTTCAGTATTATGACCATATAAATGCTAAACCAAAATCCTTACCACAAAAAAGCATACATTTGCTCGTTTGCTGGAACATTCCTGCGTCCAGTACCGGAGTTTGAACGAAAGAATTCGGATTCTGCGTATCTCGTAACTATCGTATTGGCTGTGGTTTTGTTGAGCCGAAAGTGACGTCGGAACTAGAAATAAATATGTTTTGCTTGTTCATGATGCAAACTCAAAACTGATAAAAATGCCGCTTGGAGCTGACTTCCGTTTACCGGCTGCATATAATCTATTTTATTACCTCTTCCTCCGAAAAATGCTCAACTACGTCTCTGACGAAATTATTGACCCGGCATTTTTTGTACTTCGGTTTTCTGAGAATCGTCATTAAAATATGTTCATCGAAATCGGAATCAGAATCTGATTCCGATTCCGATTCCAGTAATTGAACTGCAGAGGCAGCGAAAGCAACCACAGACAGGGATGGAAAATCATTTACATTCATTTCATGCATTCATTTACATTCATTTGTCTCTAACTTTTTTCATCAACAAAATTCCGTAAAATAGAGTTTGAAGCTTTTGTAGGTTTTTATGTTGGTTGCATCTTTTGTAAACAACTCAAATCTGTATCTCTTATGCATGATGAATCAGAGTGATTAGAATCCACCATTGTTTTTCAGTGAATGTAAATTGCATTCACTGAAAAATAATAACATGTTCTGCCAGCTCTTTTTCATCATGCATAAGAGATTCATATTTTAGTTATGATTAACAGTTGTAGTTAATATCAAAAGCTACAAAAGCTTCATACATCATTTAACTGTATTCTGTTGATGAAAAAAGTTAGAGGCAAATGAATGTAAATGAATGCACGAAATGAATGTAAATGATTTTCCATCCCTGACCACAGACGCAACGTTTTGCATATCTATTTCGAATTTTTTTTTCACAATCCAACAACGCACAGTTTGACAGCTCAGATGCAGTTGTATTGGTGAATCCAACCAGTAAACCGTGAAAAATTACAGTGCGAACCTATCAACTTTGGAGTTGAAACTAGTGTGGAACTAGGTTCAACCCGTGCGAATAAAAAAACGTTTTGACAGCAGTTAGGTTGAAACTGGTGCAAAACTGGGTTGGAACTGAACAAAAACGAAAACGACATTAAGCTGCACACTGTGATTGTACAATAGGAATTCTTGAAGCTTGTAGCCACGTTGGAGCTACTCTTTTTGCGTTAGATGGGATCCGAAGTGCTATACTAGAGAAAAAAGTGAGTGACATTACATTTGATCGCTTTCTATCAAGTAATCTAACTCATCTACATCTTGTGCACTTGCTTTACTCATACGTTTATTTTTGCTTTCTGCAGCTCTCTGTGACAGATCTACCAGCTTATTGGAAGAAACCTCCGACTTCCATTACTACAGACTTATACAAAAAAATACGGGATATAGATTTTGGTCGGAAAGTAATACGTACATATCCGTACCGGTGTCCTGATGCTTCTGATGTAACTCGTCAAGTTGCTCTTCTAGAAGCCATCCAACACGATGAGTGGAACGTTGCCGCAGTAACAAAATTTTGTGGGGAAGCTGGTTTAAATTTTAAATGCTTGGCGTGTTCCAAAGACAACGAAATTCGTTTGAACCTAGAGGTGTACAACCTGCGACTGCTGTACAACCCTCAGAACTCTATGTACAATCTTCAACAACTCAGAGGTCTGGCTGAAAACGTGTACAAAAATATGAACAGGGACCCAGAGATGCTGAAGAAAATTGAAACCATTACACAGGACCAAAGTAATAGCAAATGGTGGTTAACTTTCCGCACTGGCCGTATCACCGCATCAATTTTTTAAAGAAGTCTGTTATACTCCTATTTCGAAACCATCAATAACAATACTCCGTAGAATTTGTTACCCAGATGCCGTAAAGTTTTCTTCGTCGTCTATAAAATATGGAAAAAAAATATGAAGAGGTTGCAGTTAACGCTCTGTATCGTTCAATTGCTGACTTGCACAGCAATATCATCAATGAAAAATCTGGTCTGGTGATTTCTGATGCAGAACCGTGTCTTGGAGCTTCACCTGATGCCATTTTTCGTTGCAGTTGCCATGGAACTACTGTCGTTGAAGTCAAATGTCCGTGACTGCGATGACATAATAACAGTCCTAACTCAACTTAGCGATCCTTATACAATCGAAGACTGTAATGGCGAGATTGTCTTAAACACTAATCACAAATATTTTTTCCAGGCATTAATGCAAGTGCATATTTGCAATGCCACCTTTGGATATTTTTATATCTGGTCTCCCAAAAGATCACTGATTTTCCAAATCAAGCGAAATGAACAGTTTTGGAATGCATATAAAGAAAAGGCGATTTGTTTTTTCAAAAATGTTGTTTTGCCTGAATTGATGTCTCGTATGTATACTAACAAGTCTGATATAAATAACTTAAATAATATGTAAGTACATGCATTGATCGAGCATGATGTATAAGCACGTTAGAAAAATGAAGAAGAAAAAAAAACATTAAATATATAATAGGGCAATGTGCGACAAAATCGAGATCCGAATAATTATTAAATCAGTTGGTCAGAAGGATGATCCAGTTACTTCAGTTGTTTGTCAGTTCGTTGTGGAACAAGTCAGGCCACGGATGCCCCAAGAGGCATAAGCAATTCATCAATCAAAAACCCCCGGTCAGCCATAACAAAATCTCCATGTTCGATCAAGTTCAGGAATCCTGACATTTTGATAATCTCTTTGTCTGAAGTCCTCCCGCCGAAAGCTTCAGAAATGTAGATAATATTTCCGGAGGCGCTTATTCCAATCAAAACCTTAACAGTCTTATGTTTCTTGTAATTAGAAAACACATTTGCATTCGCTTTCATCGACTTTGGATTTGGAGATTCTATGGGAATCTCGAAACAGTCAACAATGACAGTGACTGCATCCTTGTACTTGTTTTTTAATGCCAATGGCATATGCTGTCGTAGCACATTTCTGGAAGGGAATCTTACTATTTTTGTCATGAAAAGGAATATTCCATCGATGGTTTCATAAAAATAATTTGAAATTACAGACTGTTGCAGGTTGTATAAATGAGCCAACGTACAAAATGGTTCATTTAATCGAAGCTTACGGAGGGTCAGCACAAATACTTCTTCCCTGGTAAGTCCTAAAAAACTCGGAATGTCCTCTACTAACGCGTCAAACAAATGCTTCAAAACACGTCCGCTCTGTAGGCCAGTAAAATATTTACATTTCACGTCGTTGGTTTTAAGAGAAACCACCGTGAGTCTAACTGATCCACGAACAGCGACTAATTTATGTTGCAGTCTTTTTGCATGAACTTTAATTTGTTTGAACTTTTTTTCACTACGATTCAATGCAGTTTGCAGTTGCCTCATATCGTTTTCCAGAAATTCATCAGTTTGAACAGAAACATCACTCTGAAAGATATCGTTTGGTATAGCGTTCTCGATTGGGAAGTCTTTCGAATTACAGGCCACTTTCTCTTTAGTTGCTACTTCATTCTGCACTTCATGGATGATAGAGTTTTGTGTGCTGAAGCTGCTGATACTGTCTTGAAGGATAGTAGTTTTAATCGTCTCCGAGACCATCACAAACCTTAAATAGAAATGACAACGTGAGATACTACTGATACTACTATTTTTAGGTAAGTTTCTACTTTTGAACATCGCTCTGAATGTAATTAGGATGTTGGTTCATCACGAACGCAACCCGCATAAACGCGAACCATAAATTGACCTTACCTAAAATGGTTAAAAATTGTTTATAATCCCTGCTAAACTTTAACTGAAATGGTTATGGAACTTTACATGAACGTTTACTGATAAAGTTTCAACCTTATGTATTATGGTTTTTTGGAACTGGACCTTACAAATAATGGGTTGTTAAGAACCATTACCATTCCAAATTCTTGTTTTCTCCATACATTTTCAGAAAGAGAACTATATAAGAACGTTTTTACTTATGATTTAAGAACATTAATGGTAATGGTTATGGTAGTCAGTAAGGTCCATTAATGGTTTTGTATTATCGCTCAACTTTACGTGGAATATATCGTGAATTGGTAATCAGTAAATTACAGGCAACCAATTCGCGATATATTCCACATAAAGTTGATCGATGTTACAAAACCATTCGTGGACCTTACTGACTACCATAACCATTACCATTAAATTTCTCAAACCATAAGTTAAAAGGTTCTAATATAGTTCTCTTTCCGAAAATGTATGGAGAAAACAAGATTTTGGAATGGTAATGGTTCTTAACAACCCATTATTTGTAAGGTCCAGTTCCAAAAAACCATAATACATAAGGTTGAAACTTTATCATTAAACGTTCATGTAAAGTTCTATAACCATTTCAGTTAAAGTTTAGCAGGGATTATAAACAATTTTTAACCATTTTAGGTAAGGTCAATTTATGGTTCGCGTTTATGCGGGAAGGTCAGTTAACTGGCCAGTCAAGCTTGAATCAATGTTTTCACCTCCTAAGATTCCTTCACTTACTCCCGTACTATCGAGCACGTCATTGTTGGTCAGGTATCCGCTGTCGTTATTTGTGGTCCTATCACCGACGATATTGTTTCCAGCTTCTGTTGTTTCTAAACTAAAAAAAAAGTTAATCGATTGACCAGCAATTTTGGATAAGTTAAATTACCTTTTAACCACATTATCATGCTGTTTGAAAACGAGTGCGTGATCAGACATATTAGTGGGCAAATTTCCTCCACTCCCTCCAGCGATAACAAAGTTCGACAATAGGTTTGCAGTCGAAGGCTGCGACAATTCAAACGCAACATTTAGGCTGTCTTTCCAGCTGGGTACGTTTTCCTGGAATTCCTGGTGCTGAACTGAAGTGTGAACATTCGACATGTGAAGACTTGGAATCTAGTCAAAGTTATTAACGTCATCCAAAAGTGCTGGTTTACCGGAAACGAAATGTCGACTGCATACACGATAATAGAGATTAGTGACGTTTAACGCACGCACACTAGCAGGAGCAACGCCGTGTAAAGTTGTTTATTATTTTCCTCTGGCTAACCTAAAAAATGTATGAAAGTAAATCTGTCAAAATGAGTTTGATATCGATTTGTTATGTATTTTCCTCGGATATTCACTAACACGCTCTCACATATCGCACCAATACAACCGGACGTGAAAATCTCTATACGGAGGAGGGTCACGGGCAAGCATCAAGATCTGCGTAGTAGCATTAATTTACGCGATTTTTCGTCCGTTCTCTTGCGCACAGCCGGTATACAATAAATCCTGATATTTTCATCCGTACCGTAACTTAAACATTAACGAACAACACAGTTTACAACCATTTTAAAATTGGTACTTATAAAAGCGTATAAAAAGTATTTATGTGCGAAGAGTTACTCTGCAACATCAGTTGTTGAC